GTGATGTGTGGCAGTGGACGTCAATGGTTAGGAACCAGGTGAGCCCAGGGTGGAGAAAACAGATGTTTTGGGGTCTTTGGCTCCCTCAGATCCCAGGTTAGAGTTTCTATCATAGTTATTTATGTGTTAAATGTGATCTTGGGCAAGTTTTGTTAACTTCTCAGAGTCCGGGTTTCCTCACACAATAAATGGAGATGGCGGTGTGTTCACGGAGATAAGGAATGCAAATGTCACACAGTAGGGCTTCACCAACACCAGCCCCACTACCTCCTTCCCTTTCCCTACCCTGGCTCCACTTCTCCCAAAGGGTAAGGGAATGGGGAGTAGTTTAGTGATAGCGTTGTAGAAATCATGGCAGATCAATTTAAGGGCCAAATATTAACAATGAGGGGCTCAGCCTTATCTTCATCCAGAGTGAAGACATAATATGGCAGTCATTATGTAATTATTTAGGGTGCTGGGGATGGAGTCAGGGCCTCAGTTCTGGCAGCATTGGACTGGTGTGCTCCATCCTCCCACTCCAGTGTTGCCCCATGGCGTTGATGCATTTCTCTCCCTCCACACACGGTGGACGGGTGGGTGGAGGCTGTCTTTGGCGATGAGCAGTGTGTAACCCTGCTAAAACAAACCAGTGTTGGGGGTCAGGGCCTGACCTCCTCTTGAGATACACAGTGGGTTTAAAAAGAAACATTTCATGATATGGTCTGGACCAAGGGAAATGATGGTGCAGAGGGCAAGACCGAAGGGGAGGGAAGAGAAGATCAGCTGCAGCCCGCTGTGGTGGGGCATGGCTTTAAGACCAGCGGGCAGGCAGATCTCTGTGAGTTCAAGGCCAGCCTGCTCTCCATAGAGAGTTCCTGGCCTACCAGGCCACAAAACAAAACAAAGACCAGTTAGCACAGCTGAGGGCAATGTCGCATCACTGGCCAGGAGGACCAGCTGCAGAAGCAGGAGAGACACCTGAGGTATAGGGTTCCCTCATCCACTCTGCTGGGGGGAGCAGTTCATTACAGCAAAGCTCCATTGCTGCTGCTACTGTTGCTGCTGCTGCTGCTGCTGCTGCTTTTCTTCTACAGACAGGGTTTCTCTGTGTGTCCTTAATCCAGGCTGCTGGAAGCCTTAGGGGAGCTGGCTTTCTGGAGGACACACCGGACACAGTTTCATAATTAGCCACCCCACTCATGAACTTAAAGGGCATAGATACAAAGAGCATAAAATGTGTTTTCTAGGCCGGGCAGTGGTGGCGCACGCCTTTAATCCCAGCACTTGGGAGGCAGAGGCAGGCGGATCTCTGTGAGTTCGAGGCCAGCCTGGGCTACCAAGTGAGTTCCAGGAAAGGCGCAAAGCTACACAGAGAAACCCTGTCTCGAAAAAACAAAAAAACAAAACAAAACAAAAAAAAAATGTGTTCTCTATGTTCCATGACTGTGACTGCTCCATGAGTGACACACACAGGGTCATGTGGGTGGGAAGTAGTTTGTGAAGTCCTGTTGGGAAGCATTCCAGAACGGGAAAGGAAGGGCCAGTCTCTGGAGGCTCTGGGGAGCTGATTTACTCTTGGGAAAGAGGGCAAGCATGGGAAGAACTAAAGGCTGCCATTGTTGCTCAGAACCCAGGAGGCAAGAGTTCTAAATGACTCTCCTGGGTCCTGCTGAAGTTGGGATATTTTTCCTGCAGAGAGGTATTTCTGGACTCTGAACATATCCAACCATATTTTTTAGGCTCGCTTCTTAGTTATCAATCAGAGAATGTTTAAAATAAATTTGCAAATAAATACTTCTTGAGTAGTGAAAGGATCTTTAGGATTAACTTATCAGGGGCTGGGGCATGGCTGGCTCACGGGTAAAGGGCCTGTCTTCTATCTCCAGTTCCTTTTTTTGTTTTGTTTTGTTTTTTGATTTTTTTGAGGGTTTCTCTGTCTAACAGTCCTAGCTGTCCTGGGACTCACTTTGTAGACCAGGCTGGCCTCGAACTCACAGAGATCCTCCTGCCTCTGCCTCCTGAGTGCTGGGATTAAAGGCGTGCACCACCACTGCCCAGCTTCTCCCTCCAGCTCTTAAGGAAAAACAAAACAAAGACGTACTTGGTTTAAACAGCTGGGCTGCAGTAAGGGTGCTTGAGGACACAGCTCACACCTGCATGCCAGTTGGGGGCAGTTGGACCAAAGGATTTAGATATTTAAATAAAACCCAAAATCTATTAAAAATGTATTGATACACATGCAGTATCAATGTGTATTGAAAACACCATCTCATCTATCTGAAAGTCCTGATTGCAAATGGTGACTTAGTGAATTTGAATTAAGACAAAGTTATACAGAATTATTGCATTTCCCACCAGTAACTGCATTTAATTCTCACAATTAGCTAGTGGGTCCAGACCCACATGTCTCCCCTTCTAACTTATTAATGAATAAAATTAAAAAGTTAACATTAAGAAAAAGCAGTACCCATGTATCCATGCCTATGTGCACACGAATGTCTTTAGTGGCTATAAAGCATGGCGTTGAATTCATTGACAGTCTTACTGTGTATAGATTGTGTGTGTGTGGTGTGCCAGTGTACATGGAGACTAATGCCAGCTTTCTTCCCCAACTCCTCTTCACCTTGTTCTTTGAGACAGGGTGACTCACAGATCCTGGCTCTCACAGACTGAGTCCAGGGGGATCGGTTTGTCCCCAGACACATCTGTCCCAGCACGAAGGTTACAGCTTCGAGCACCTGCCTCTTGTTTTTATTTTAATTTGGGTGCTGAGGGTCGTAACTGCTCATCATGAAAGAATAAATAAAAAGAAAGGTGATAGTGGGTACCTTTCAGTGGGCCCTGCCAAGGTATGGCACTAAGCAAACGTGTGCCACCCGCAACAGAGTTAGTGCAAGAGGTTTATTGGGGGAGGGGAGGGGACTTGAGAGAGGCAGACAGACAAGAGGAAGAAGAGAAGCAAGAGAGAAAAGAGGCAAGAGAGGAAAGAGGAGAGGAGAAGAGGCAAAGAGGGCGAGCTGTGCCTGGCGGGCACCTTTTTTTTTTTTTTTTTTTTTTTTTTTTTTTTTTTGAGACAGGGTTTCTCTGTGTAGCTTTGCGCCTTTCCTGGAACTCACTTGGTAGACCAGGCTGGCCTCGAACTCACAGAGATCCGCCTGGCTCTGCCTCCCGAGTGCTGGGATTAAAGGCGTGCGCCACCACCGCCCGGCTGGCGGGCACCTTTAAAGGGTGCGTGCACATGTCCCGTAGCTGAGGGTAGACAAGCACCTGGGGAGAGGTGATGATGTAACTGCTTTGGCGGCAGAGGCGGGCTGCTGCCCTGGCCGCAGAAACTAACATGCAAGGCAAGGCACTTTATTCATCTGAGCTGTGTCCTTAGCCTCATTTACAACCTTTTCTTTTGAAGAAACTCTATAAAGTTTATAGTATAAACCAAGTTTACAATAAGGGTCCCCCCCAATCTTTTATTTTGTACGTCAAAATGCTTATATAGGAGACGTGCTGTTGAAGAAACCCAACGAAATCTTGAATCTGGGTAAAAAAACCGTGAGGAATGAAGAATGTCTTTGGTATTAGCAATAGTATTTAAGGCCCCGCCACGTCCCCTGCGTAGTGTTTTCCTTTCTGTATCATTCGCGGCAGAACTCTGAACAGCATTCACCCTTAAGGGATTTGCCAAGAGTCACGTTGAGAGTTTTTCTGACCGTGAAGTGCAGTGCAAACGTCTGTGGTTCGGATTTCCACCTCGGGCAAACCCGAAGGCCATGATGACAGTTCGATGTCAGCGCTTGTCCTCGGGAAAGTGAGGAAGCGCCATGCACTCGCTTGCTTGTTCGTAACTGAGACGATGACAGCACCCGAAGCTAGACCGCGCGTGAAAGGCCTTCTCCGCCTGGCATCTGGACCCACGGTGCTTCCGAAGCGGGCATCCACTCCCAAGTGTTTACTAAGTGATGTTAGAAACGCCTTTTAAAAAACGGCACGGCGAGCGAGGGGGCTTTAACCAACTGCTGTGAACTTTCGACCCGAAAGGAAGGAAGAAGCAGGGAGAAAGTTTGGGACTCGGGCCTGCAGGAGTCGGGGCAAGGCAGGACGCGGCGCCCGCCGGGCTCGATTTCCACTCGGACCGGGCCGAGCAGTGAGCGCGGTCCCCTCTGCTGCGGGGTCACGCACACGGACCGAGCGCGGCGTGACAGCCCCGGCCGCCTCGGCTCGGCGGTCACGCGAGCTCCGTCTTCCTCACAGACCC